GAGCACCAAATAGGATGGATTTTCAGGCAGCTACTCATTCATTTGGTGGCATGCCCTGGACTTCAGGAGATTGCAACGATCGTTTTATTCTCTTCCCTATTGCAGACTGTACATTGTAACCCCAAAAGCCACGCTACCTATTGAAAACAAAAAGGAACATGCCTGATTTTAGAAATTAGATATTTAGCCTGCAATGTTATATTCCACTACTATAACAAGAAATGTAACTGAAGATCTGCTGTGCTTATAGAACATGTATTATAGTGCTGTGGGGACTTTTTAATACTTTTTTCCTTGTGTATTGTAGTAGGACAAGTACTTCTCCTCCTGAAGGGTATGAGCTGCAGATGAGTCCAAGTTATTTTGAGGAAACATGTCTGCAGGTCTTTTTTGAAAGCAAGCTGGTGCCTTGCTCACTGCTGTAGTGTTGTGAGGTTTGTGAGGGCTAACAGGGCTTCGGCATTAAAATGATGTGTTGAATCATGCTAAAATGCTTTTGGAAAAGAATGCTGACAGTTTGTACTACACTTCTCCTTGCCACATAGATCTGATGTGGGGCCTCAAAGCTAAGCATGAGTTACTCATGTATTTCTTTTAAAAGTCATTATTAATACAAACATTAGGAAATGTTCTGTACACAGAGAGAACTAGGGAGAAAAAAAGAAATTCTGTAAGGTTTATAAAGATATTGTTAAAGTCCTTTCTTTCACCCCAGGAATTACAATGCAAAAGATATCAGAAGCAAAATTAAACTGCAAGGAAGCTACCAATTAAAATTGAAAAAACTAATAGGTATTCGCTTCTGCATTTCTACTTAAATAGATGCTTTCTGTGTACATCTTCTGAATATGTTTCTGCTGGAGGGCTTAATATGCTTAGTTATTTAATATGAATCTCTTCAGTAGGCAAAGAACACTCACTCCAGAATCTTCTTTAAAAGTATTACTATTTTTTTAACATGATAGCAATTTCAGAATAAAGATTACCTGGTCTTCCATTTCTATTATATGGAGAAAAACCTTTTTCTCTGATTGCTATTATTATTTCATTTTATTATTTGGGGTGTTCAGTGTATGTGAATTATAGAGATATGCTATGCAATAGTTAGAGAAAGTTCAGCGTCTTTTTAATAGCTGCTCAGGGAATCAACTTGTAGCTGTTAGAATATTTGGCTATAGCTTTGCAAAAGCATAACTGTTCCCATCTGGCAATGCCCTGACATCATATTTCCTATAATCTATGTTAGTTATGGATAAAGAACATAATATTTCTTCAGAAGATTCCTTTATAACCTAAGCAGCAAAAAGTAACACTTTTAAGTTAGTAACTATTTAGATTTATAGCTTTTACCTGCTGAGACTCTGAACTATAAATCTCTGTATAGCTAAATAAATATCATGTTTGTTTCCTCAAAATGAAATAATTTTTGTATGCTTTCATCAGGGCAACATTAAGCCCTTTCTAGCCATTAAAAAAATGACTGAAGAAGCATTTTACTCTGCCCCTGCTGTGGAAATCAGTGTAAATGGTTATTATGCCTCTATGTTCAAGGGTGAGATGCAAACCAGGTGCCTAAAGAAATCATCCTCCGAGTCCATACACGCAGAGGTACTGAAAACTCTGCAAACAGAATATACAACTGAGTTATTCTAGCGTCACTTAGCACAGCTTTGGGCCATTGCCAGGTTGCTTTGCCCTTCTTTTGCTTTAGAGAAGTATTGGATGGATTTGTTTTCCTGGGACTGGACAAGCAGTTGCTGATAGAAGATGGGAAAATCACCATAGACATTTCTGTGAACACCAGGCATTACTTCTTGCCCCCACCCCGCTCGTTTCTTATGGAGATAGAGGGGACAGAGATTGTTTTGGAGATTTTGATGACTGTCTAGGAATTAGCAATACTGTCACATGCTGCGCATTGTGCCAATATGGACTGTGCACAGATCTGGAAACACTTTGGTTCTGAGCATACATCTAGAACATGGATACAGACAAAACCTACAAAACTGTGCATCTAGGATCTTTGATTTTGGATAGAGACAACATATGAATTTGCTTCCTTACCTTAGAATCAGGTATGAATACATTCATCTCCTTGCAGTTAAGTACTCACATTAAAGTAATTGAGATGATTCACACAACTGGGTTACGTACAGATCTGCTGGACTGTAGCCTCAGACACAAAGCTCTGGGGCAGGACCTGAGACCGTGTTACCGAGCCCTGAAGCCAAGCGAGACTCTGGACATGCAGAAATTCCCTGTGGATTAGGTGTGCTATGCACATGCGTTTAGAAGGTATCTGAGAAGGAAAACAGGGCAGTGACAGTGAAACAGCTGATGTACTAAGTAGCCTGGTTTTGCACGCATTTCCATAAAGTGACGGGTACCGGGTATATTAGGATGTGGTCTGTATTCGGAATATCCAAAGCCAGCACTTGGAAAATTTGGAAACTCAAAAGAAATTCATGAAGCTTGTGAGAATCATTCTCAGTTCCTAGCTCTTACCAGGGGAAGGTACATTTGCCTTTGGTAAGCAGTCCTCATTAATCAACCGTTTCAAAGGCTTGGTTATTAAACTTCTCTTTGCTTTATAAAATAATTGCAAGGGTCATACTGTAATGTATCGATTGGAGGAAGAAGGCCGTTGCTGCTTGGGGGAGCAGGTCTTTTCAGCTTGGCACAAGGTGCAAGTAGCCAGGCATATGGTATGGCCTCAAATAGTCCCACTGAAATGAGATTCAAGCCCAAGTGGTTGCAAAGTCTGGACCTAATGCCTGGATTCTGTAATTATTGTGGGTGCTTAATAGCACTTGTTCTGTCAAGCTGCCCCCGTTAGCACCTCTGTGGAGCCTGTAGGAGAGTGGCAAAAGTATCTAAAAAACCTGCATGCAGTAACTTTGCTGCAAAGCCCAGATGTGAAAAAAAATAAATGAACCTGGAAACGTAATTGCAAATATTTCTGAAATCTCAGTTGCCTGAATAATACATTCTCTACTGAGAACAAATGTGCACCCAAGACAGAAGGGCCTTACAGTACAGGCAGATATTCTCACCTTTGTATGAATTATAATTTCAAAATATCTGAAGGGCTTTTGTGCTAAGGGAGGGAGAGGATTTTCTTCTTAAGTTCTCTTTTTGTGAAATCCTATTTCACCCTCCCCTAAAGATCATGGTGAGGATGGGGAAACTTTAGCAAAGTAGCTATCAAAAGACCAAGAGGTTTTTTCTTTCTTTAAATATTGCTCTCAGTCCAAATAAAGTGTCTGTGTTTCTTTAAGTAGTAGGAAAAGGTCTTTTTGATCGGTATCCTTTAGATGAGAGAAATCCCAGCTTCTCCTCTTTAGCCCAAGAGGCAGCAGAGGGAGTCGTCATCTTCTGGTAACTTGGTTTCAATCTCCCACTTTGTTGTCTTCCACAAGTAAAATCAGGTCAGTCTCAGAGCTCAGTGTGAGCTATTTAGATAATGAGAAGTTAGCACTTGGGGGCTTTGGAAGCCTTTATTTCACAAGAGCCAACTGAAATCAAGAGCCTCTTCTTCTACGGGTTAGTCCGTGACTCGCAGGCACAGTTCTGAAAGGCTTGGAGACCTTTCCAGGAATGAGCAGTTTCATGCAGTTAAGAGCAGAATTCCGGCGCTGGTTTGCGCTCTCGGTGCATCTTAGCAGGCGTCAGTGATGCGTGCTGTGCGAGGCTGCTCTGACCCCCAGGTAACCGAGCGTGCTGTTCAGTCTTGTGCTTGTCATATAATCAGAACTTGGTGCTTTTAAATTAGAAGTGATAAATCAAACAGAAGGAATGCATTTTGCAATAACGATCACAACAATGACGTACCAGTAACACAGATCACTGCAGAGCTCATTTTGTTTAAAAAGCCCGGGCCCTCCTCAGCACCGTTCCTTTTTGGGAGAGGATGGTTTTGCATGAGCCTTATTAAAAGGTAAAGAAACAGTTGTGAACACGTGCTTGCCCACCATTACCCAAGAAGACCCAGGATAAGTCCTAGAAAACCTGATAAGGGTCTGATTCCCCACAGTCCTGTGGTATATGTAGTTATTTACGCAGGACCAAAATGGTGGCACTCTTAAGCTAATTCCCTAGGAGGCAGAGCAGGGGAAACCTGATCTTATCTGTCATGAGAGACGTGCCAGTAGCCCATTTCACAGGCTGTGAGTTGTTGAATCTGCCAACATCTCAAAGAGCAGCCTAAAGCCTGCCTCTAAGACTAGAGCTGCTCCCATACACGTGGCCAGCCTGAGCGTCCGACCGAACGTGCGGTCAGAGGCCATGCTAGAGCACATGCCAGAGGGTTTACCGTGCTACCAGGTGGCTTTTCTAGCAGCTATCGTCCCTGTGCAGGCTGTCTACAGGCTGGAAGTTGGAAAGCGTGCGTATCGCAGAAGACAACCCCAGCTGCAGGGACTTGTAAAAGATCACCCGGGAGATTTGGAGCAAAGTGGATTTCTGACTATCCTCAACCCAAACTTGTTCCTTAACGATTACACAGTATTTCTTTGGTCTAAATGCTGACCAAAGTATTTGTCCAGAAGTGTCATAGAATTTCAGTATTTGTAGAAAACCTCTTGGGGAAAAGGTTCTGTGGGTAAACCAGCAAGACTTAAGACATTATTTTTATGTGATCAGCATCATCATTAGTGAACTGCTCAGGTTGGAGATTTCACTGTTGCTAGGTGTATGGTACATCTTGTGTATGTGGTACAGGGTCATTTCTCAGGTGTTAGGTGGCTCTGACACTTGATGAGCGTTCATGAAATAGCAATAGGAGCGTGACAAATACCTTGACAGCCCTGAATCAGAACTAGGAGTTTGGTTCCAGGATTGAAGGGAGGAAATTTGTCTTTTCTGCCTGCTGCACTTGAAACAGTTCTTGGAATTGCCATTAGAAATTAAAATAATTCTAATGAACTGAATTTAGGTGGTACTAATGAATTAATAGCAAAATATTTTAACTAAAGGGGCTTTTTTTGGTCCCTTAGGAAGCAGAGATCCTGAATACAGCTATTCTCACTGGGAAAACAGTGGCTGTCCCTGTCAAAGTGGTCTCCGTGGAAGATGATGGGACTGTGACTGATCTTCTGGAATCTGTGGAGTGCAGATCATCAGATGAAGATGTCATTAAGGTAGGATCATACTGCTCTGTTACACAAAGGCAGAGGACCTGCAAACCAGTGGTGTTCTCTAATGTGACAAGTTCTTTCATCTTCCTAACTGTTCTACTGCTGGAAGACAAAGGTTTATTATTGCTGTTACGTATAGATTGGTTCAGTGGAGCAATAAAACAAACACAAAATTTCACACTTTCTATCCTGCATGTCAAATACTTAGAATTGTCTGTCACTTCCCACTTTTGAAGTATTTTTGGACTTCAATCTACCTTTGCCTTTTACTTTTCAGCGGGGTGGGGGTAGGTTCAGGTGTGGACTGTGTAGGTTCAGGAATGTTGTCAGCTGATGTTCTAGAGAAGGAGGTAATTCCTCTGAAGTTGGTTTGCCACATTGGAACAGAAGCTGTACGACTCGAAGTTTGGGTCTCTTCTTGGTACTGACCCAGTAGTGTATTGCAGACAACGTTAGATTTAAATTTGGCGATTACTTTGGTCACAATTGCTACTAGGGGGTCTCACAGGAAACATGTTGGCTGCCAATCATGGACTGGGAACTACTGGATAAGACACTTGACCAGTGGATTTACTCTTTACAACAGCTCTATAGCCTGAACGTCCTTGCAAGATAAAAGTCAGGCATATACTGCTACTCTTAGTTTTTACTCACAGTGTGTACTTTCCTAGCCAGTGGTGAGCTGAGAGCTTGCAGGAAACCTTTTTATTACTGAAGTCTTAGGGTCAGACTGGACCCTCAAGAAAATTGCTGCGTCTTGAAGACTTTCTGCTTGTACTGATATTCCTACTAAAAGCTTGTAAGAAGGAATTGCATATTCCGACTCAGCTTGGTTAATGGTTAACACACATTAATGGTAGTGGAAGGACACGGTCAGCAGTGGTGACTGTGGGAGATATGGTAGAAAGTATTGCAGCATAGCGACAGAAACATTGGCTTGTCTGCAGCAGCTTTTATCTTTTCACAAACTCATCTGTGGCTGTCACTTGAGAATAGGAAATGAGAGACATGGCTACAAATAAAAGTTAAAATTGAATTTTTTTTAACATAACCAGCATGTCACAAAACGACTACAAATACTACAGGCTACCCCTCCAGCTGCTGGAAATCACTGTTATCCCATTAACTTTTGTGAACTGCACCATATTGAGGACTTGGCCTTTGTGAAATTTGCCTTAGCCTAAAGCTGACTGGAATGCTAAGCTTTCTCCCTGTTACATTAGTTCATTTTAATTTGGATTCAAACAGCTGAGGGTATTGCTTAGCTCCAAAGCAAGCCTCCCTGGGCCCCGTTAGCTGAAAAACACTTTTCCTAGTGGATATTTTTTTGCGTTTATGGGCAAAGTTGAGTGTAGGTACTTGGTTGTTACTGTCATATGGGAAGCTCTTGGGAGTTTGAGACATACCTACATAAGCTTAGTAACTTCATGTCACAGAGGGAGTGACAACTTGGAGGAGGGTGATTGAAGAATAGGGCTCAGTATAGGTTTAAATGATCTGTTTTGCGCTCTCTCCAAACAGATTTTAAACATTTTTTTTGGTAAAAAACTGCATTTTTTACACTCATTGGACTTGTTCTAAGCATTTTTTATGTTTCCCTTTTAGAATCTACTCTGGATTTCTGTTTTATCTGAATGGCCACCATGCTGGTATTTTTTGGTTAAATGTGTCTTTCTGGCTGTCTTAATAGAGACTTTTTTTTGCTTCTGTGAAGCCCTTTTGAATCTGGTAAACCTGCCAAATATATCAGACTGTTGGACTGAATCTAGGTTTAAAAACAGAAAGAAATTATTTGGGGTCCTTGTGTTGTGGAAGTTAGTGGGCTAAGTCTTCACTCACTCATTAACTAACTTAGTTTTTTCAGAGAACTAGAAAAAAGAATCTGAAAACATATCATTTGGAAGATATTTTAAAAATCAGTTTTGTTATCTGAAGTTTTAGTTTATCAGAAGTTCACTCCTCCTCAGTAGGAACGCAGGTTTCCACAGCATTAAAATGAGTCGCCAGTTTAAAGTGAGCTCTTAATTGAAAATGTGTCTCCAAGTTTCCAGTTTACCTGCTCTGTTTCAGACCAAGTTTTATGCACAGACATCTTATCTAATGAAGATAAAGGTATATAATTACTGGCCAGCCTTCAGCATGCAACAGTAATTAGAGTTTCTGTTCTCTGGGCATTAGAGTAGTGAATACAAAATGGAAGAAAAAGTCTGCTTAAAATGCCTGGTGAAAGATTACATTTCTTTGTGTCTTTACTGTTGCTGTTTTTCAACGCATGTGTCATGTAGCATCTGACAGATTGATTACGTCTTCATGGCTTAGCTTTTATTTCTTTTTTTTTGGTGTCGATTAATGATGAGTTTTAGCTCATTTTCCTTGCAGAATGAGGATACCTCATTCTTCTTTTAGTTTCAGGTGCCACATTTATCACTCACTTCTTTCATCTGGGACTTCAATGAACTTTAAAGAGCTGGACCAAATTCTGCGCTGACTTGTTTTCTGTCAAACTGCATCTACTTGAACTTGGTTGAATAAGTCAGGAAACAATTTAGTCCATTGAAACAACATTATTGACAAATGATTATCTGAAATTATTCGGTCCACCATGACGGAGTAACCATGCCAAAAAAAAATGGAGGCATGTTATAGGCTCTGTTTCACAAATGAGGAATCTGAGGCACTGAAAAGTTAAGGTGAGAATTTCCAAGTGCTATAAAGAAGTTCTGACCATTTAAGTAGATGGTAAGACTCTCACTGATCTCATGGAAAAAAGAAAGATTGGTGAGCAGAGTTTCTTTGCTGAGTTGTTAATATGGATCAAATTCTCAAGATGATTTAAATCAAGAATGAGTGGAGAGGGAAAAAATCCACATTTTTTAATCTTTCATTTTGAAAAGACATTTCCATTTCAAAATGGCCATTTTTTCAAGGCTCAACAAAGCCTAAAGGTCTCCAAAGCAACACTTTCCAATGCTCTGGGTTTTCAGTTTGATGAGGTAACTGAAAATCTGCATTTTGGTTGCCTTGAAGTGAAAACACCTTTAGGTTCATTTTGTTTGATCAGTTAACTAAAATTTCCAATATATTCTCAGCTTTGTCCAGAAGCCACTTGCCAGAAGTCACACAGTGAATAGTGCCAGCACTGGGAACAGGATTCTCTGGCTTATTTTTATATTACACTGTGTATTTTGTAGAGGACTCAATTCAAAATCTGTGTGTTATCCAAAATCGCATGCTTTTCTAACAAAATACCTTTAGCTTATTTCCTTCTAGAGCTTCTTGTACTTTTCTTAGGTCTCAGATAAGGATGCAGACAGGAGGCAGGTACACTACCTTTCGTCTGTATTACAAGCAAACTTGGTGGGGGGGGAGAAGGAGTGAAAGGAGGCTTGTTACTTGTGGCATCCATCCTTTGCACAGTGTGGGACTTACCACAGAGCCATGGGGCTGTGTCCCCCCTGCAGGGGCCGTGCAGGATGTTACAGCGTGCCTCTCGCCCTGAATTCCCATTTCCCAAAGCTGCAGCTCTAGGACCAGTTCTGGCCGTGGGACAATTGCCTGGTATTTCTGCTTGTCGTCTGCAGAGTCTCATCCCTCTGACTGTGCATGAGGAGCAAAGCAGTCATATTTTATCCCTGCTTGCTGTTTGTCGAGCGGCTGCAGGGTTGCAAAGCCAGACTGTCCCAGCCCCAGCTACATGGTAGGAAGGTTTTGCCTATCCAGGTGAAGGCTTGGTACCTGCTTTGTTCTGTATTTGGACTTTTGCTTTGGACTGTATTAGAGGGGGTAACAATGCACTTGGCTATTTATAAAATACTACTGCAGACTAATAAATCTTTCAATAACACTTAGTGTGGTTTTATCAGTGGCAAAATAACTTATTTTTAATCAAGTGACAGACTTTACAAAAACTGAAGTATCAGAGCATTTAAAATAGCCTGAAGCAGACAGTGTTTTAAAACATTAAACTTTTAACAGCTCTTTGTCTTACTTCTTACACTGGCGCACTTCAGGGAGAAGTTGAATTCTTCTCAAGTCAGCGGAGTGACAGTAAAAAATCAAAGGGAGGAGGTAATCGGGTCCAGGATTTTATCTGCTCCTTAGTTTAGCATTGGCAGTTTCAGTGCTGCAGATTTCACAAGCATGTTGCTAGTGGCAGTCCATTTGATATTCTTTTCACAACGCATTCTTGGATGCATATGATTACGCAAGCTTTCAGTTCCAGCTTTCAACTAGAAAATAAAAAAAAAAACTAGAAAATAAAAAACCCTCACGTCTGCAGGTTGAAGGCATGGGCCTCAAAAATGGAGGTACTATAAAGATACACAAAATTTCAAGAACAGAAGCGTATGAAGAATCCCAGTTTCCCTGTGATCTCTCAAGTTTAAGTCAAGCTAAGAGTGATTTGAGATGCGTGTTATGGCTTGTTTGAGTCTAACAGCTCACCCAGTCAAAAGGGGGAAGCCAGTACTCACCCTTTCCTGGTGCTTGCTCCGGTGAATTAGTGGGGGGAGAAGCACAGGAGGAGAAAGCACCCTGCCGTGGGCGCAGAGCAAAGCAGGAGAGAGGGAAGAGTGAGGAAGAGCAAGCCCCTGTTTCAGAAGCAGTGAGCTGTTAAACTAGCTAACCAGAATGTGCAGTATCGCGTGCAGGTGAGGCTGTCGCGTGAGCTTTGGTCACTCGGGGTTCAGAGGACCCAAGTAGAAGGAAAAAGCAGATGTAATCAGCATAGTTTGTTGAATGATATCAAAGAGAATGCTTTCCGGTCGGCAAGTGGGATTTTGTCTAGATTGAACATTTACATGGAATATGTTTGTGTAGGGCTGAATTTTAGAATGGGAAAATACATCTCTGCCTTGAGGGTTGGGTGAAGATCAAGTTCAATCTGCCGTGGTTTTCCGCAATATAATGTGGTTTCTCTCACCAGCTGAACTGCTTTATTCCATCGCAAATAATTTTGATCTGTCTTGAAACAAACGTCTGATTTAAGTCAGCAAATGAATGTT